GGAGGAATCAGGACTCTGGTCGCTACATGATGAAATGACTTTACAGGGGAACTCATCATGCATTTTGTTATTGTTGAAGTAGAAAAGGATAGTAAATATTTAGCTACCTCAAATCAGACCTGAGTTAGCAAATCGGTTTTACTGACTTGTTTGGAACCAGATCAGGTTGAGACATGAAACAATGGAAAATCTGTCTAGTTATGGAACATAAGACATTTCCAATGCTCCAAAGAAGAGCTTAAAACTATCTTAATATGAATTTTGCTACTCTGGAAAACCCAGATGTGGTATAGCTTCCTGAAAGACGCCAAGATCATGTCTTCCTTATGAAATTACCATCTTTTTAGAAAAGAATGCATAAGCCCAGGTATAATGGTGAGAGGCAGTGGGGTGATCATTGGTCTCAGCCTGAAAAGATCTATCTACTCAGTCATTTTTTAGCTGTGTGATCCTGGACAAATAAAAACCTCTCTAGCTTCATTTAAATTATTTATACAATTCAAATGATATTTATTTACTATTTCAATGGCTGGTTGAAAACCTTATGAGATATTAGAGCTTCATAAACCAAAATTGACACATAAATGTAGGACTTCAAAAAATCATTATGAGCATAATGAGGTAGCTAAGACACAAAAGGTTCCCCAAGAGAAACAATGCAAAATTAATCCATGATCAGATATGGCACTGTGAAGTCTAAGAAAACATTGCTCCAAACCTATTATATTCCTGTGAATTCACTGGTCCATTCTCAAGCAAGTATGCAGTGACGAGACTACTGACCAGGACATATGTCCGTTGGCTGGGTATTTTTGAAACAAACTTTCCTACACTGGATAATTAAAAACACAGCTATGTACATTTGTCTTCCTGGTTGGCACTCCTTTCAGAAATGCAGTCTTTATGTTAATTCATTTTTAACTCATGCCCAGAGACATTTCTAAAAGTATATACCAAAATACTATACTTCTGCCTCCTTCAAAAGCCAGAGCTACACACACACATACCGCTAAGCCTACCTGGGGCTTTGAAGCACAACCAACTGCAGCTGAAAGGCAGGCTCTTCTACTCTCTCCCTCACTCTAGGGACTCTCATAGCTTTCTCCACGCAGATTCTGCTGTAAGCACAATAAAAATCAATGAAGACTTGGAACAGCTAAGACTAATATTTAAAGAAATGCTGAGGCTCCCGAAATTCACATTCTTGCAAATTTTAGATAATGCCCCAAATATAAGTCACTCTTGGTCATATACACACTCTTGTGTGTGCATGCATAGTGTTCTAGCTTTCTACCACTCTGACCCAAATACCCACCCACAGTGTGCCTTCCTCCCAAATCCTTTCCTCTGGGTACCCTAAAACCTGCTTCTGAGGTAAAAGCCCATCCTAGAGACCCCGCTTCCTTCCTTCGCTCTACCTATTGAGCCCAACTGAAGAAACTCCAACTCTAGATAAATGAACTTTCTGTCCCCTCTGTTCCTAAACCAGCCTGTACACTGGAGATCAGGGTAACTATCAGTTCAGGGCCTTGGCTACTTCTAACCTTCTCTGGTCAAGTCAAAAATCTGTCTTCCAATTTACTGAGATAGAGAGTGCAGGGCAACTCCCTCAATGTCTCTTATCCCATTTCAATCTCCCTTTCTTCCAGTCCTTCATATCAAAAGGCATGTCCTTCCCCATAAGGCCAGTTCCTCCAAGCTGATGTCTAGAGGAGAAGACATTGAAAATGAGGAAATCAATAGATGGTCGTTGTAGTAACACAAGTGAGAGGTAACAAGGGCTGGAACTAGAACTGAGGCTTCAGGAATGTTAGTATGTCCCCTCAGCCTCCCTCAACTGGAATTTTCAGAGAACCACAAATCAGGGATATAACCACATATAACCAGTAGCACAGGTGTGTATGCCCTTGCAAAACTAGTATCAGAAGAGAAAGGAAGAAACTTTACAGCATACTTCCATTCTGTGGAAAAATACAGTTGAGAAGAGGTAGAAAGAAGAAAATAGTATAGAACAATGAACCCTAAAATTAGATTATGCAAAGTAACTTCATAGGATGTTGGAAGAAAATGTCTATTTATATTTACATTTCATTTTAAAAGAGGAGGAAATTAACCTTTACTAACATTTACTACAGACTGACACTGCTACCATCTCTCCAGTGACATCCACGTCGTTTGCATCTTCTCAGGATCTGTAGCTTAGGTGACCCAAGGGCAGAGTGGAAGTCCCAACAGTGCCCACACTCCTTGGTTTGCTTTTAGCATGCAGCAAACTGAAGTTTATTTATATCAAGTTGGGTGAATGTACAGATTTTTATTAACTCTTCTGAATTAAATAATATTTACCAAAAAAACACAAAAACAAAAAAGGCTTAGACAGATCCCTGCAACAGAACCATGGATTTAAGACGCTTATACTGCAAGAAACAAACAAGCAATAAGAAAAATGGCAGAGACAATGCTTCTCCTAGAACAAAGGAGTTAAACATGAGGCGTTAAACCAGAGAGAATCTCATCTGATTTGGCAAAACTCAGCCACACCAGGAGTTAAACCAGAAAGAGTCTCATCTGATTTGGCAAAAACTTGACCAAAATAATTGTCAAGACTATTTGAACTAAGGATGTACACCAATGTTGTTAGGATAAATTTTAAGATTAGAGTGAGCCCTGAGAAATCAGCTAATGATAAAATACGTGCAAATAATATCTTGGAAAAAATATACATATATTGGAGGTGTTTGCACAAAAAAACTTTTACTGATAAGATTCCAACCAAGAAGTCTAGAGGCCATTGGCATAGAAGCTGGAGTCTAAGGCTGTGGGAACTACATTTCCTAGTCTTTGCGCTGGGGCAAAAATAGCTGTACTTTAAGATTAGTAACATTCTAAAAGAATGTTTTATTTTTATTTGGGGGACACTGTTGAAAACTTTGTAACCTCTATTTTATTTTCTTCTCTGATGAAGTCTTTTAATTTGCAATAATGAAGTACGATAAAAATGTGGGTAAACTAATATTAAATTCCCTTAACACACTTTGCTTTATATATATTCTTAACTTAGCACATGAGAATTAGTAGCAAGAAAAAAAGAAACCTATTTTTGTTATACTTTACCCTAGCTAGACATTCAACATCTACATAGACGTAAGAGTTACATAAAATCAACCAAAGTTGCAGAGTTTGGTAGGTTAAGTCAGATATTTCAAATAGTCATACAAACTATTTCCTGCCCTGTCCTTGACTCTATTCACTTCCAAGCAGATTTTGGTAACTGACAAGTCAATCCCCAACATGACTGTAAGGACCTTAGTTACTAAAGTATTATACTAAAAGACAAAGCTCAAATGTCTTTGCCTTCTTTGTGGGACCCCAGTGGCAGTGGCATCAGACATACACAGAGAAGCAGGCACTGGCAAATGTACTGTTTGGTGGTATCAGATCACCATTTAACAATAAAGAACACACATTTCAAAGCACCTTGTCAAAAAGGAATAGATAACTGTATCTCATTACAATTTCCCTTACTACAAATACAGAAAGCAAGTTTTAAAATGATCCAAAAAAGGAAAGAAGATCCTTTCTTCACCTCCCCCTCCTTTTCATTCCACAGGTCAATCCCAGACAGCCATGGGGCACTTCTCAAACTCTCCCACCTATATCTGAGACTTGGCCAGGCCCATCTACTTCTGCATGGATATCAAAGGGGACAGTCCACTATTTCCAAAGAAGGTAGCAGTACATGAGAATTAGGAGCTTTGATTTTTAAAACAAAAAAAGTCCACAATTCAACTTCCCTAATGCTTAAGATCCAATTTTTCCAATTAAGATGTTTAGAGTTGAGATTCTCCAGTCTTCTGGTTTTTAAAGAAAAAAAAATGAAAAAAGAGAAAGAGAAAAAGAAAAGAGAAGGAATGTGTGTAGGGTGGGGAAGAGGTTTCTGTTACATTAACTGAAACTTACAGGAGGACGCTGGAGATGTCAGCCTGAGGCTCTGGGACTATTAGCGCAAAAGGAAAGAAATGAGCAGGCACCATGTCAAAGTTTGGAAAGCTCACCTGGGGCCAATGCTGATAACTGGGAGCAGTTCCTTAAGACTTCTCTATTTTAAACCACTTATCTTTTTCAAAAAGCTTATTTTACTACTTAAAAAGAAAAATCCCTAGCTCCTTCAGAGGGGTAGCATTGAAACAGACTGAGATAAAAATCATTGCCTTAAATTTGTCTTTGAAGTGGAAATGTGATCATATGCAAAGCACTAAAGGAATAAAAACAATTTCAATTGCCTTCTAAGATGACATGTTAATAATCAAATGCAGGAACTATACAGCATGTGATCTCATAGGTTAGAATTACCCTTTCCATCATGGGCTCCCACCTGAGACCGATGCCCGGACAAAGAAGGGATTACTATTGCTTAAAAATCTAATTTATGCCAGTAGAAACTCCAGGCTCTTCAGTGTTGGCCTCCATTAAAAAGGCCAAGAAGGAAAAATGTAATACTGTTCCCTTGAATCTGAACACCGTCACTGACACTTGCTAAAGCAAATTCACAAAGTTATGCAGAATGTTGGGACCCTTATGCCTAAAATAACAATCTGCCATCCTTCTGAGGATATCTGATACTGTTTTTATACTTAGGAAAATTTTACAATTTCACTTTTAAATGTATACAGGCCAGAATACTACTACTATATTACCTTAATTAAATCTGTAATCCTGCCACACATCCCTTGCTTTTTAGTGATTTATTAACTGATTCCCTCTTGCAGAGGGGAGGGCAGGAATCTTATAGTCTCATGTCACTTACAATGGCTGGCACATGGCTGATACTCAGAAATATTTGTTGAATGAGTGGTTAACATTATTATAACTCCCTGTTTTTGATGTCCTCCAAATTTAGCCTATTTGTTTCTTAGTAAACATATATCATACATATAACCTTTATTATTTAAAACAAATAATAGAAGAAGTTCACTTTAAATAATCAGGTATTCCATATATTCAAGTGAATATGTTTTATTAAATGCATACTAATATCTTTCTATAGTATGTGAGTATACATAATAAATTAAAATGTATATATTTATTAAATATAGATAGATATAATACCAGAACATGATTATTTCAGATGAGAAATCAAAATAAACCCATTTTTAAGTATCTTTTGGTCACTCCAAATTTGATACTGCTCATAAAAAAATACACTAATTTTCCCTGGGGAAAAAAAATTAATTCCATAGCAATGCAGTTAAGGGACATGTTTTATTTCATAGCTTTCTGCAAGCAAAATTGCTCTGATACAAAATGAGTTCAATGATACAGGTGCTACTGTCCACTCAAGCAAAAGAAAACCTCACATGTATATGAATGCACTTTATACTTATATTCTTACAGTATAATAGGTCTAATATCCAGGATGCCTCTGGCCTCATTGAAAGCAATGGCACAGAAATGCTGCAAGGTACTTGAATATCATAGTACTGGCAAGTGCTTGAAGTAACTTCCTGTGAGTTCTCTGTCAGATACTGCAAAGACTGTGTGTGGGTGCATTTATCTTTCTGTCTTCCATCTTTTGGGTTACATTTAAATCATCTCAAAAAATATCCCCCGCATGTATCATTCAGCTTCTCAGAGTTTCCATAAAAACAGGAAAATGTCATGAGGTATCCTTAACGTCAGGGATTGATATAGTGCTGTGGCTGTCAGAGAGGATGTAGACTTACCTGTAGGTACAGTAACTGAGTTTAGTGTGTGCCCTGCACATTACAGTGCAGAAATGTTAGTTCATGTTAAACTTTTCCTCCTCACATATGATGTGATTTTAACCCCAGAATATCTGACAAAAACATTATACAGATAAAATAAAAAGACAAATACACAAATAAGGCCATCTGCAGAATTTTAAACTCGCCTCTTGCAATAATTCACAAGAATTTCTACACCATACTTTACATTGTTCAAACTTAAATAATAAATGCTCAAGGAAGGGCCTTGGTAGAACCAATTGCACTATCTCTTTGAGGACTTGTCCAATTTGCTGGCAGGTGATTTCCTCTGGGGCGTGGGGATTTTTGAAGGCTTGGCTGTGGATGGCCGAGAACCTGCTCGGGGTGTAGGTCTGTGTGTCTGGGGGACAGTTTCCACATCTGAGCACACAGACTGGATTTCTGAAATGTCAAAGTCTGATGCATCACTGCCTCGGCGGCTGCTGGCCCTGCTGCCAGCTTTGCTTCCAGCTCGACTTCCTGGTCGGCTGGGAGTCTTCTTGGAATCTGAGGAAAGAAGGTAGAGACAGCTCACCCTTATTATTGGGTCCATCTGCAACCAATTTTTGAAACCTGATGCCACTTTTAATCTTAACTTTTTTTCCTGGTGTGTAGTAGGCACTCAGAAAACACTTTTGGATTCACGGCCTTTCCCTATTACACAAGGGTATGATGCAGGCTTACTCTAAGTAGACATAATATAGAAAAGCCTAGATTTCTATCTAAAAGGTAAGTTTCAGCTTCCCCTATGTAAAGCAGGATTCCATTTATTGCAAACAGACATAAGGAATATGCCTATCCTTTAAGATTGTGCTTTCTAAAGTTTAAATTAGGTATCCAGGGATGTGTGTGATGCAAACATAGAACAAACAAGACAGGCTTAAGTCTTGCCCAAGAATAGGTAACTCCAAGAATACAGGAATTCAACAGAGGAGATTGGAAACTTTAAAGAGACGTCTTGCTTGCTGAGCTCAGAACCCAGAGATTAGTAGGTTCGCTATTTTGTGAAGCAATGTGAGATATACTGGCGTGAGGCTCAGTGTGGCTGGGTTTTTCCAACCACCCCAAAACAGGGCCCTCTGCAATCTCTGAGCTGGTAGAAGAGCCAAGACCTTTCAGCTTGAAGGCGTAGAATACCACTGTATGTTTTCTTCTGTTCTACGGTAATTCTTTCATCTTTCTTGGACACTTTTAGATACTTGTGCCCATGACTCACTTTATCCCTGACTTTTGGAGGACCAGGGCTACATATCATTTTAAGATCCCTGAGGGTCAATTTGTAATTTCTTCCCCAATGAGGAGGAAAAGGGACTTTAATCCTCAGATGACCATGCTGCAAAAGCCATTAAAAAAAGAAGGGCACCACACTCACCAGCAAATTGTGTTCGGACTCTGGCAGCTGCAGTTGTTATCAAGCCACTGTCCTCCCCAGAGTGGAAGCCTTTCCCTGATAAATATCCTGGAAGTCGAAGCTTGCTTCCTTGTATTGGCGTTCCCTGTATTTAACCAGCGACAAGACATTTCAAAATACTGCTCCTGCACCATGATATTCCACTGACACCACTTCTTTACACATGGCTGGAAACTCTCTACTATTCCTCTTTAGGAGGTGGAGCAGGAGAAACTCTTCAATTAAATAAGGCATGGGGTTCTCACTTAATTTTCTCTTCTAATTTCTTATTCTTTCTCAGAATTCAAAAGAAACTTTCTAAACAATATGAATTCATGATTGAAGAGAAAACAAAATGGAGACCCCCCCAACTGAGCATAAAAGTGATGGCAAGGAGAAAAAGACAAATTAAACGGTGAGTATGTTAGTATCTTTCAGACCGCCAGTGAATATTACAGAGGTAATGGTGTATTGCTAAAAAGATGGTGACTCCATGCATAGAGGGGGCATGGAGCAGAGAAAAGCTGTGCCTGGATATTCTGCTGCCTCCATTGCTTTTACGGAGCTAGGCAGAGATAGAGACAGAATGATAAGTAAATAAATAATGGATACAGACATCATTTAAATAAACTGAACTGCAAAAAGAAAAAAAGTGATTTTTAAATAACTTGCTATCATATCGCTTCACTTCCTGGCTCTATCACTTCTACAGTCTTTACAGACAAAATATTAGGCAACATTTGGAGAAATTTTTTTTTTTACAATCTTTATATGAGTTTGTAGAGAATGTCTAAAACAATCATAACTACGAGATTTTATTATACAATCATTGCACTTTTTCCAGATCACTACAACATTTAAAAAATTCTCCCAAAGTTAAAAAAAAAAAAAACCCAGGTATCTTGAGGAATACAAGGAATGTAATATAATATTCCTCAATGAACGCACAGCCAGAGAACTATTTGGAGGAAATGCATCGAAACAAATTACATGTATATTTTTAAACAACTGATTTTCCCTTTATTAGCTTAAAATGTTATAACCATCTGATACATGAGCTACTTTTATTAAGTCATTTATCTACATATGTGTATACTACTCATATACTTAAGTGTAGTATTTATATGTGATTTGTATACACAGAATGCTCAAGTTTTCAAAATACTTTTACACACATAACCACAATTAATCCTCACGCTTACCTAATCATAACCTTGAAAATGTGAAAGATTAGAGCCTGAGGAGGGACATGATTTGCCCAAGATCTGACAATGCTGATCTAGCTAAATTCCTGACTTAAACAGAATCTCAACAACACGAGGGAGTGAGAATCCACAAATTATGAAACATATCACTCAAGGTGTCAGAATTCATAACCGTGAAAGACCACAGTCATTCTTCTCAGAATGCCTTCGTGATTGTTTCGATTTTATTTCACAGTCCCTCCCATAGAAACATGTTGTTTTTGGGGTGTTTTTTGTTTCATCAGGTTATTTGAAATGAAACACAGTTTTTCACTAGTCAAAATAACTACTCAGACTTTAATTTGAGAGAGTATCCACTTAAAAAGATTTTGAACACAGCATCATAGCCTTCAATATTTAAAGTAAATGTTAGTATGTCCCTTAAGGTTGTTTGAACCTTTCTCAGTTTTTTTCTACAATAGATCCATAATAATTGACAGACATCTCTAGAAGTAATATATAATACTAACATCGCCCACTTGGTGGGAAGGGGTGGAAATCTGGGGCTTGGGGAAATGAAGAGGAAGAAATGAGGAAACACTAAAGAATGGGTTGTTTTTGTTCCAATTCTCCCACTTATCAGCAACGAGATTTCCATGGAGTCATGAAGGTAACACACTTTTTTCTCTGCCTGCCACTTATTATTAACGTGAGGATTAAGGAAGAGAGAAGAAAGTGTTTTGAAAAGCATAAGGGGGCTTTTAAAAGTTATTATATTACTTTTATTTGAGGATCCTGGCCTTTAAGTTACGTCCTTTATAATTAAGGTGAAATACCTTCTTCAATTTCAAGAAAAGGTATTTAGGGATTTTTCCCCATTAATTATTGGGATTCTAATAAAATATCTGATTATTTTGTGCCTACGTCTGTTGTTTTACAGTGAAGTTTCTTAAAAAGATATATGGTTGATTTTCAGTTGAATGTAAATGACCTGATACATGAGTTATCTTGGCAAATTTTATATCACCTACATATCTTCTCCCTATAAATCATGCCGTATTAAAAAGTTAGAGCATGCTTAGTAATTAAAATCTTAAAAAAAACCCATACATTTATTACCTGTTGAAAATGACAGATAACTTTCTGCACACCTAAGCCTCCCTCTGACCCCCTGCACTGATACTGAGAGCTTATGACACACCCGCCCAAAGTTATGGGGCAGGTATAAATGTAACAGACATTCAGAAGGACCATGCCCACAGTGAACATTCAGTAAACATTCTTTTCAGTGATTCTCTTGCAAATGATGCTGCCTTTTACTCCCATCTGAAGGGAATGTGTTGCACTTCTTCACCACATTATATCTAGTATATTTAGTAGCTTTAAAAGAAATTTTACTTAAGTCTGGATATAATCTACTATATTTTACTCTCCCAAGAGATAAAAGTGAAACTAAGTATGAATGAGAACAAAAAAGAGGTAGTCTGCAGGAGTGACTGGCTCAAACTGACACTGTTTAAATTGCTGCAGACGATCTTTTCTGTTAACCTCTTACTCTCACATCTTCCAAGAACTGCTGGGTTGATACTTATTTTATAGAAGTGTATAAAAAGACATAGGATTGTCAAAGTACATATATTAAGGGAGTGGTGAAGCAATGTTAGTGGGTGATAGTTTCAGTTAAAGGAGACTGTTAAGACTGGACTCTGGGGCCTTACGATACCTCTGCAGATGGCACGGAAAAGTCTGAGCACTCTGCTGCTTTACAAGGAGTTGACATTTTGCTGTTTGTCAACCATGGTTTACCATAATTGCGTGTTAAAGGATGGAGAATCTGTATGGAACAATGGCAAATCAATGAAAAGGATAGCAGATAAAAAAACCAAAGCCACAGAAAGAGATACTCATAGCAAAGAGTCACATCTCACAGTAACAATAACAACAATTTTAAATAAGTGGAAAGATCCAATGGCAAATCATACACACCAAAAAAATGAATGAAGCTTTAAAAAGAAAAATCAATCTGGAAGATCACAAAGGCTCCCTAAATAGATCACCTCTATGTGAGGCACTAGGCAAAAGCATATTTAAAAAAAATCCTGTATTTTCTATATTGTGAGAAGGTGCACAAACGGAGATAGCTGGTCCTACAAATTCTAGGGCCCTAAATAGAACATTCAAAAGTCTACTTGGGAAACTGATTGCAAAGGGGGAGGAAAAGTCTTCATCCCTGAGTCTTACCTTGGGTGTGGTGGTGGCAGGGACCTGTGGGGTGGCCGCCTGTGCAGCCTGACTGGACACAGAAGTGGATCTGTTGGGTGAAGCGCCTCGTGATGATGGCCGGGATCTTCGGCCTCGGGGTCGGAAAGCAGCCATACCCTGGCTGGCACCATCTGCTAAAATGAACTTCTCACGCAGTTCCATGTTTGTCCTTCCTTTGGCTGGTTTACACACACACAACAATGCACACAAAGAAAAGAAGGAAAAGAAGAGGCGCTCAATCGTTTATGGGAAGAACAGCCACCTGGCACCAGAGATCACATTGAGAATTTCAAGAACATCTTTTTGCCATGCCAACTCCAACTCAGCATAACAAAAAGTTAAATGCATTCCTTTACAATGCATTCCTTTTGGATACAGGTGAGTTTGGGGAGGAAAAAATAAAGTGTGCTTATTCTAATACTAGACACCAGCAAGAATAACCACTATTAAAGAAAGTGTCAGCATGAAAATGGAAAGCTCATGCTAAAATATCATTAATCCACCAGCTACTGATGCCCACATGGTTTCATTACCCTCTCACCACACTGAGAAGACAGACCAGTAAGGCAGGGACTGTGTCTTTTGCATGTACTATTGACGCAAAGAGAATGCCAGTATTTCAACATTGGGATTAATTAAACAATATAATTACACAGAATGAATGATGGCTTGTTAGTCATGATGGCAACATATAAACTTCTGGGTTTTTCACTTAAATGAGGCAGCTAGTATTTTTATTTTATGCCTTGAAAAACTGTTTTACCAACATGCAATAACAAACACCAGACCCAAGGATCTGTGAGGTAATCAGTGATGCAGCACTCATACAAACACATATGCACACGGAGAACACTCCACAAGAACCCGATGAGCAACGTGTTAGCATGTGTTTGATCACTTATAACACCTGCATTTGTAACACAACCAAAGTGCATCAAATTTTCAGACTTTAAATTTAGAAGCACCAGCTCAGCTGGGTATGAGTTAAGCCATACGCGATGGATAAAGCATGTTATTTTAAAATAAATGACTGAAGCAAGAATGGAAAAGTAGGAAAGAGAAAAGGAAAGAGGGGAGAGGCAAAGAGAGAGGTTGCCAACCTATAGTAGGCTGAGTAGTAGTAATTGAAGAGTTTGATTCCGAACGTAACATTTTACTCCCATGATGATGAACTAGAAAAAATGACACAGGATACCAATCACATTAAAAAATACTGTTAGCAGAAGAAGAAAACAAAGTACAGTAGTTGAATATGCAAAGGGTGCTCAGATCCAGCCTTTAGCACACATTTTAGAAGAAAAGTTGCATCAGGAAAAGAAGCACTCAAAGGATTGGCTCAATAAGAAAAATGTATTTGGAAGACTGTGCCACAGTCATGCTAACCTTCGTAAGCAACCCAACAGAACACAATGTGTTCTGATTTCTTCATAAATGGAGATGCATTTCACCTTAGGCTACATTATTTTCAAAATATACAACAAACAGGAGCTTTTGTTCTTGTTTTACTTCTCTCACAGGTGTGTCTTTGGCCAGGAGAGAGCAGGGTTACTGCATATGATTGTATAACAATCCATGGTGGCCTTGGCAGAGAAGCCTGATGACTCTGATATGTCTATGCGTACCAGATGGTGACACCATCACCAAAATCAAGAGGACCTACAGGAGGAAACCTGGGCTCCCACTTGGGTAGCCGAAGGAGGCAGCACTGACATGAACATTTGCTGTTTGCTAAAAAGGATTACAGTGAGCTCACAGGTTAAAGAAAATTATAACAATTTTATTGGTTTTTTTGGGGGGGGTGGAAGGGAAGAAAAATGGGCCTACTGAGTAAATGGTACCTAATTAGAAATTGCAATCAAATGACCACGTGTAACATAAATTGGTTAAGAACTTAAACACTGACAGAAGGATCTGAAAACAGAAAAACTAAAAGCTAACTTAGGACTTGTGCTGGAAGATATGTAAAGAGCTATAGTATTATATGTTTATATTTTTAATGTTCTAATCTGCAACTTCAAAGAGTCAAGTTAGCATTGGATTATTATTTAAACATTTTTTAATTACGGCTTTCCTCACCTGCCCTTCATTTCATAAAAACTTTGACCTTTAAACTTTTATTATCCAGTATTTTCAGTCTTCATCGCCTCAATTTTCTTTTCTCTTACTTTGCTATGTAATAATAGACAAAATCCTTTCCTTGGTTGGTATAATTGTTTAGAAAATCATAGATATAAAAGTCTCCTAAAGAAAATGGATTATAGTATTTCCTGCCCACCATATTTATCCAGAAGAAGTAAAAAAAAAAAAAAAATGAGAAGAACATGGTTTACATGACTGCCACAGGTTCTTTGGGAACTTCAGGCTGACAGACCAATGTGAAACATTCACTATTGGAATAAATGACCAAAATTATGCCCAGTATGTTTTGGTGCTGGAAAATAATATAAAATTGAAATACTTTCATGATGTTATCATGATAAGCATCTCCTTACCCCTGCAAGGATCATTTTTCACTAAGAACTCATCAAGTGCCATCCATCCACCTCCAACACGAACCATCACAGTACTCCGCAGGATCCGGACCAGTCGCAGTTGCTGGGAGTCTCCAAACTGTTCAGTGAAGAAAGAAAGAACCTCTAGTTGTCAATAATAATTCTAAACTGCAGGATGATGCACAATTTGCAGTAGCTAAAGCAACCGACTTTAATTTCTTGCTTAGTTCGTAGCGATTAGTAAAATCTCAGAAAAGGGGGTTTGTAATGATTTGCGTTAGACAGCTGCATGCTGATTTAGCCCAAAGGAAACAGTTTGGAAAAAAAAAAAAAGATTACAAAGGTTATCAAGTATACTATCAAAGCTTTGGTCCAAAAAGTATTTTTCTTTCTTATGACAGAAACAATATTAGTAAGGCAGTAATTTTAAAATGTTTCTAGGAATTAAACATACCCATGAAAGTAAGCATTGGCCCACTTGCCCAGGGCTTATCTAAAATAAGATGATTCTAAGAAAAATTTAATAAGCTTTGATTCTTCTTCATTAAAACTATCTCTTACAGTAAAACTGCGTTCCACTGAAATCTGTGAGAAATCTTTATAAACTCATTTTGTTTTCTCTAAGAGCAGTTTTGACTTAAGAATAAAGTAAATGAGTATGACTTGTACAAATTTCACAGTCAACTAAAATTTCTGCATCCCTAATGATCTGGTAAACCAATTTGTTAAAGGCTGGGTTAATATGCCACTTTAGATTACTGTAATATTAGAATAGCCAATGACACATTATTAATGATATGGCTGCCAAATCTAAAAGGTTTCTCTCACAGTTGTCTGTACCATAATTGTCGACACTAAGAGGCAATCATCTTTTTCTTGCCCTTTCAATAGATCTCCAACAATGTAGATATGCTACAAATTCTGCAAGTCCTGAATAAATATCTAGATTCCAGGTTTCTGATCATAGGTTTATGTTTTGAAAGCCTGTGAGAAATGATTTTATACTTTAAATCATTTCTAATAGGTTCATGTCCAACTCATAAAAACTACCAGACTGAATTTCACGGTTGTTATCCCAGCAGACAAGAAAGCAAAATGAACAGTCAATTAAACATAAATGGCTTCTTTGTAAAGCAGGTAACATACAATTGTGACTTTATTTGGGCTCATATGGATAAGCAGAAAACTCTAAGTAGAAAAAAATCTGCTACTTTTTAGTTAATATTGAGTTTCAAGAAGAAAACCCAAAAACAATACCAACCAAACCCCTCGGGATCCTAAAACTCAGAAGGACCTAGAAAGCATGTAAAATGCACCAGCAGGAACTCATGTGTTTTTCCATCAAACTTTTAAAAACCACTATTTCTAAATCTTTTTTTCTTAAACATTGAGACTTAAACTTTCCTATCATTGTTCCTGAAATGTTAATTAAAATTTAGAAATAAAAGTGTCAATTTATTTTGTTAGAAAAAATTGGGTGCTGCTAATAAGCAAAGGGAAAGGAGGGGATTCAAAGAAAATTACCCTTAAGGAACCAGATAATGGGACTAGATGATTTTGGTTCAAGATTATACTCAAAACAAAAGTTATAAGGAAATAACTAAAAGTTCCTTATAGAGATGATATTTCAAGTGTAATAAATACAAATAATTTTCTATTTTAATAAGGTATTCTCCAGACAACTAACACTGTCTTCAGAATTTCTCTAAATTTTCCCAATAACCAAATCACAAGACAAGAGAAAACAGACTAATGTTGCTGACTGTGCTTTCAGTGAGTAAAACCTTTTGAGGTAAGTATTTCTCTCATCCTCTCTGCAAATAAAAGATGCTCTCTCATTTGCTGACTCCAAAAATTGCAAGGACGGAAAAGTAACATTTTATGTTTTATATTATAACTAATGGAAGTTTTAAAAATAAATTATTTGCTTGCAATAAATGAAGGTAATAGATAATTTGAAGCTTGAGATGTAATATGGCTTTAAAACGGAGTGGCAGAGTCATATCTAATGTAATATGGTCAGGTACTACAGATAGCATGGTTGTTTCCAAAGTATAAAGTTAAAAAAAAAAAAAGCTCATGAATATGTTTAAATCAAAACAGAGTATCTCTTGTCTTTAGTTTCAAAATTCTGATCATGATGTAGTGCCACTAGACAGTTCATACTGACTTAAATGTCAACGTAAACATTTTATATTGACTTCAGTGCCAATATAAACATTTGAACAAGATGGCATAAAACGTGACTTTAAGATTCTGCATATGTTACAGCAATAACTTTCCTCAAAAGGAATGATATTACTTAAAGCCTACGGAGTTAACATTTCTACTCAGAGGATGCCAATCCCCGAAAATCAGTGATTTTGAACAAATGGCAAATAGCTTCTTTGGAGAGAACTTGTTACTTGCGGCTGAGTGCCAAGGGGACCTCTTGGCTCTCTGTCTTCCCGTGTCACTGCCTGAGGCTGATCCTCCTGGGCTACTGTAGACCGTATGTCCTAAATAGTTAAACATCAATGAGCCTAACACAGAGATGTGTGGAGAATCAAATTTGTGTTCCAATGAGTATTAGCATAAAATATATGCTCATATTATCAAAAATGGGAATTAAAAATTGCATTTGTAACATTGTAGCAAGCCAAGCTACAATTCATTATCTGGTTTGCTTAAAAGTAATCTCCTCATTTAAGACACAAGGCAAAAAGGAATCCTGGATCAAGGACCCTTATAGCGCTTACAGAAACACCACGCCAACCAACAATGTAGTAGCTAGGGAGACAGCATGGGAAAGATTGGCCATGGCAAGCTTTAATGACTATGAATTAAAGTTAAAAAAAAAATCATCAGGAACTTGAGAATACATTCCACTGGTTTATACCTGATTTCCCAGGAAGAACTGATAAAAATGAAAAATGGAAGAAAGACACAATTAGTTCAACAGGAAACTTTCTGTATGACTCTAGAACACACACACATACTCACACTCTGTGCTTCTGGATGTAGTATCTAGTTTAGAGATGTGCAGGTACCCAGTTTGAAATCTGTCCCAATTTCAAACCAAATAATCAGACTATTTTCTGTACATGTATTTTTGAAAATCTTAGGATTTCAAATTTAAGTTAAAGTTTTGAATACATTGATGACTATTTTTTAATATGGAAGTATAAAAATAAAAATAATGTTTCATTTATAAGTAACACACTATATTGGGGAAACTCAGCACATTTCCTATCTACATATAAGCTACTACATATAAGAGATGTTCAAAAAAAAAAAAAGAGAAAGAGTAATGAAGTCACACTGTTCTTCTGTTTTGAAGAGAGTGAACCAAGTTAATTGAGATTTTTAATAAAAGCAAAAATTACTGCACAAGTGGAGAAGACATTATCCTCTTTTTTCCTATTTATTAAAGTGAGTCCATATTTTTAACTTTGTGGTTCTGGATTAGAGCAGCTTTCTTGTTTGAAATCTGAAAACTTACTTCTAATCATAATAAAATATAAAATAATATGAAGCAACCTAAATATATGAGATTTGAGTATTTTCTTGTGAATAACTTTTCTTTAAAGGCAATGTGCATGATGTAGATGTCAAAGATATTTCCTAATATGCAAAATGCAGGATACCATTATACTAATTAAAATGTTACACATAAGAGTTTCATATACCATTAAATTTTGATATGAGGTAAAACAAAAATAAATAAGATTCCTGGAAAACAACGGAGATCAAATTATATACAGATTTCAATTTATGTCCTTTAAAGGAACTACAACATTATTTTGAAAACTTACCCTGTATTTATTATCACCAATCTGTTCAACTTGAAATCGCTTTGCACATTTACACTTAGCTACCTGCCTTGTCACCTGCCAAAAACAATGATGAAATATTTACTTTAATGTTAATATTACATAGTAGAATCCTTAAACTTTGACACTACAATTAAAGTGAAAATAAAATGATTGTACGAATTGTGCATGATATCCTGGCAGAACACACTATCAGTGTTACACGCAATGGAAAGATAATGAGTACCTCATCTTCGATTTTGTCAGCATCTGTGATAGGTTTATATGCATCTTTATTTGGGTGAAGGGCTGCTACAAATTCATAGTAGTCAATATATCCATCACCATCTCTGTCAAAGATGTCTGCAACTGCGCTCATCTCCAAGCGACTGGTTGGAAACTCTAAAATTTTGAAAACAATGATAAGTAGTGACTTGTTAGTTCTTTCTCAAGGTATTCTCAATTGCACATTTTAATCTCAATGTGGCTGGTTAAATCATCAGTGATCAAACATGTTAAAATCCTTTTTTAAAAAACCGATTTACATCATAGCAAATGAAGAGCTATATATACTCTTAACTTATCTTTAATTACTACTTAGGTGAATCATGTAAAATGCTGTTTTTTTTAGGATGAAAATGTTTAACATTGGCAATTTTATATGGTTCAATTACTAGTCAAAGAATAATTTATGAAATTTACCTTAAGAATGACATCTAGTAACATCTGTCAGGGAAATCACATACAAATGATTGGGCCATCAAACAAGAAGGTGATAAGTATCTTAAGAAGTTTTACAGAGTTCTAATTTCCTACTAATGACAAAGTTAGATCAGAATGTAAATTAGAATGAAAAAGAAAGGGACTTCAATTTATTGACTTCCTATTACATAGATGCCAGGCAACACACACACACACACACACACACACACACACACACACACACACAGAAAACACCTTAAGAATCATATATTATTGACTTTATTAGTCTAACAAGTTCTCAGCCTCAGTGTAGTGAGGGAACAACGTATCTGTGATCACACAGGTAGTGAGTGTTCCTGAATCCGGAGCCACAGATTTTACCAAAAAACACTTTTTTAAGGGTAGTGACTTCCTAGGCAACTTATAAGGCAATGCCTTATTAGTAACACAAGTTCACTGGACCCACAATTTTAAAATGTGCTTCTTTCCTTTAAAAATTGTATTAGTTACAGTCACCTGTCTTGGAACTTACTTGAGGAAAGAATTCCATCAATAAATTCCTGCCGTGTTATTTTCCCATCCTGGTCTTTATCAATTCTCCTGAAGAAGTCCATCACTCGAGATTTCTTGTGATTCATCCATCGCATGTATTTTTTGCGCCAAATATCAAAATCAAAGTTAGCAAATTCCCTCAGCTAAAAAGGACAAAAGGTATTTTGGTTGAGTTAATGTTGTACTAAAATTGTAGATTATACATATGAATAACTTTTTAAATGATTCTCTAGGTAGTACACATATCCTTTCCATTTCAAAAAGAGGTATTATCTTGCCAAGGGGACTTAGAAACATTTTGGTTTTAAAATGTATTTCATTTCTGTCACTGATTTATCTTTAAAAATAAAATTTCTAAAAACTTACGCTGTAAATTTCTGATTAATGCCAAAGTCATAAAGGTGGTCTGGCTCTAAGTACCACCACTAGTCATGCTCACTGGGATAGCAGGTCCAGCTCAACAGCACTTATCTAACCCTTTGCTCTCTCTCCCTCTGCACTATCAGCCACTCTCTTAACTCCCCAGGGCTTCTAAAAATTTCCCAATTGCAGAATCCAAAACTTGAAATCTTAGGTAATCAAATACACACAATCAAAAGATCTGAAATATCAATGATTATATTTGCCAGGCAGAATGGCCAGCAAACATTATGACATTATGTCAAGTTAGATTTTATTCTTAAGGAATCAGCTTCTGATTGTTAAAATATAATCATTTTTTTTTTTACTTTATTGATTTCCTAAATCCAAATCCCGTATATCAATGTTTCACAAAATCACACATACTTGTGGTATTTATTTTGGAATTTAAAAATGTACTCGAATAGCAAGAGTTTGCTTATTATCAGAAAAGTTAAAAAACACCAAGATTTTGGCGATGGCAATGTGTTACGAGAAATGAGGGCAAATGACAATAAGGTGATGAGGGTATGAATTTCCAAACCTCCTCCAGCCTGTCCAAGGCATCATTGAGTTTCCTCCTTCTTTCCAACGCCAGGAGCCAGACTTGCTGCCATTTGCTCACCAGTAAGTTAACCCTAGGATTTTTGGTTTCAATTTGTGTCTGTGACCCAGAGGGATACAAGCTTGATGCTGGAAAGCGTTTTCCTGTGAAGATATAACTTTAGTTAGGATGGCAGTTTCCAGGGTTCTGAAATGTGTTAAGGCTTGACCTTTTTTGCTCCTAGCTAAGACTGCATCAACTTAATTGTGGGTTTGTACAAGTAAAAGTATCCTGATTTAGATGATGTAAAATGTCAAGGTCCAAATCTGTTTTCCTTATTAAGGATCACACACTGTTCATGCAAGTTGAAGAAATATCTCTTGACAAGGGCATTTAAATACTGGAAACCTCTCTCAATAAATTTACGCTTAAAACATCTTCCAGCTTAAAATTCATGCCATTTCAATGACAATGAAGCATGCTGTGATCCTCCTGTTTGTTAAAGGAAATCTCACAGGCCAGTGAGACTATCTTACAATGAGTTACATCAAACCTAGCTGTCCTTCCTAGAGAAGAAGGCAGAAAGGGAGAGCAGATGAGGGCAGCAGACACTGGGCAGTCACAGGAGTCAAAGCAAGACACTTCACAAATGCCAATAAAATATGGCAGTATGTGTATGGGACCCCAGCCTTTGCCCACATCCATTTTCCACTGAGATTGCATGTTTCCTATGCATAGTTTCAAACCCAAGTTTACTGCCTTACTGAAGTTTCCTCCTGCTTTCTGGCTGTTTTCCACAAGTCTCAACACCTTCACAAAACAATGACCTTAACAAATTTTTCTCATCTTACTAAATGGCTAAATATGACCTAGAAAAATTACTGGCCTAGGGTCATATAGAATGTTAAGTGTCCCAGCTGAGATTTACAGTACAAGAAATACTTGAGCATTTAACTATATGCCTGGAAGTATGTTAAGCATTTTATATGTACTAGCTCATTTAATTCTCACTGCAGTCCAATGAGGTTATAATTATCCCCTTTTACAGATGAGGAAACTGAGGTTCAGAATGAGTTTAAGTAATGTGTCCAGGGTTATGTTTCTCAGTTTGGTAAGTGTTGGAGACAGCCAAGGAGTCTGGCTATAGGGCTCTTAATAGTTTACCTTGTCTCCTTGTGTAATAAGTAATCATAACAGCTCTGACATCATTTCTTTTTAATTAAAAAATTAAGTAATACACAAAATGCATTTTCATTCAGTAACACAAATTGTGTTTCTTTTCAATTTTCTCCAAGCTAACTATGATTGTTTTTAATGTCACATCATGTTGTTAAAGCAGCTCTAGAAGTAAACAGAGCCTGAAGTCACACGAACATGTGCAAAAGCTATCAGACTGCTGGCCACCAATGAACAACTAAGTCATGAACGTTATCCAGGTCATGGTCATTTTTTATTATGCTCAGCTTTAAAGTTATATATATAACAGAAGAAAAATGAGACAATGCAACGGGGGTGATGATTTCTGTTCTTACTGTAAATTTTTTCAGTTTTCTTCTAGCTAATATGAAAGATACACTTTAAGACAATAAAGTTACATATAGAAACCTGGGTATATTTTTTCTTTATTTTTAAGTAAGTTTCTACAATACTTGAGCATATATATTCTTTCAAGAAAGCATTTCATGATATCCAGTGCTCATGTAAAATCACCAACTGCCCCCAAATTTCAAATAACTCAAAATAAAATTAGCTCCCTTGTTTATTGACATTTTAAAGAAATTGATCACTGCTTACTTCCTGCTCGTCCCTTATCCAAGACTGGAATATGGGATTGTAATGAGGAAGGATCAGCAGCTCTCCTCTTGTAGGTCTTCGTTACTTTATCAACATCAGGCTGTTTTCTGGTCATTTCCTCCATGAAGGTCTGAAATGAAAGAAATTATGTCAATCAAATAAGAGTATACTAGAGAAAACCATCTTCAGAAATGAACTAAAAACAGAAGGATGAAAGAACCATGTTATTATTTCTGAAGAAGAATAAATCATCATGCTTTATCTTCAGGGTAAAAAAAAATCTAAACCATCATAATGCAGCATTTACTAACTTTTAAAGAATATAAAATGTGGCTGGGTGCAGTGGGCTCACACCTGTAATCCCAGCACTTTGGGAGGCCAAGGCAGGTGGATCACCTGAGGTCAGGAGTTTGAGACCAGCCTGATCAATATGATGAAACCCCGTCTCTACTAAAATTACAAAAATTAACCAGGCATGGTAGTACGTGCCTGTAGTTCCAGCTACTGGGGAGGCTGAGGCAGCAGAATCGCTTGAACCTAGGAGGCGGAGGTTGCAGTGAGCCGAGATTGTGCCACTGCACTCCGGCCTGGGCAACAGAGTGAGACTCTGTCTCAAAAAAAACAAACAAACAAACAAACAAAAATATATATATATATATATATAAAAAATGTAAAGAGAGTACACTGAAAATAAAAATAATTTGTTTTAGTTGAATAACGTACATGGACACATGGGAGAAGTCATGTGAATAAAATAACCTGTCTGTGCACCAACCAAACTCAGGCTTCCAAGCTCCTCAGAAGAATCTTTAGTGAGCATCTGTCTACAGAGAAACTAGTTAGCTAGGATGTTTCCAAAAACTTTTCTGTGGCACATTTCACCTACATATTTGAAATATTTAAGATGGCTTTGATTAGGCAACACAGTGAAACCTGTCTCTACAAAAAATGAAAACATTAGGCCAGGTGGCATGTGCCTTATAGTCCCAGCTACACAGGAGGCTGAGGTGGGAGGATCACTTGAGCCCAGGAGGTTGAGGCTGCAGTGAGCCATGACTGTGCCATTGCATTCCAGCCTGGGCAACAGAGTGAGACCCTGCCCCTCAAAAAAAAAAGACGGCTCTTTGATATATTATGACATACTGCATCCACATTTAATGTGGACATATCAAAATATTCATAAATAGGCTATTCCAAGGATGGTAAAAGCTATTTGGTTTAAAGTATACTACCATTGTATTTAAAAGGTTTAACTACCTTGCCACTGCTTATCTCATCTCCTTGGGCTTATTATTATTATTTACTAGGTATCCCTATATTTGGAATATGCAGCAAAGGCTGAGGAAAGGCAGAGACTGTGAAAAATGATGGGAAAAAGGAGACCCAGACAAAAGGGAAAAGTGAAGTAACACCTTTCTGGAATATTTATCACACTGAAGAACTCTAATACCTCTGATCACAGGGAACATGACCTGGTACACTTAGGGCCATTATAGACATTGATGTCTTAGACTTTTAAAACACACACACATATACACACAATAATGGCAACATTAATTGCTTAACCAACTGAGCTGACACTTAATATTTCTCTTTGTAAATGCATATTAAACACATTGTGAGCAATCAAGTAAATCAAAGTGAGTGTGATACCCATCATTTGAGTTTAAAACAAGTAGGATATATAGGAAAAGTGTTTTTTCTAAGAAAGACAACATGTTCCCTTTTTCACACGATGTATTTCAAGTGGTGACAGTCATCTTCGAAGACATAAAAATGCAAACAGAGCAATCAAACAAGGTACCCACTGAAGCCAGGGAGGTGGAGGTGGGTGAGATCACCAAAAGAGGGAACAGAGTGAGGGAAGTAGAGAGCTGAGGATAACACATAAGGAGTAAGGAGAGCTGACGTTAAGAAGGCAAAAGGGAGAGCAGGAGTGAGCGTGAGACAATACCACGAGTATAACCCCACAGAGGACAAAGAAGGAAAGTTTTGCAAAGGTCACAGAGGGTTCCTGTAAAAAGAGGTTTTAGGGCAGCTGCAGAACTGGAAATACAATTGTAAGGAACTGAGGAGTCTGAAGAAGTGAAAATAATAAAGCAGTGTTTTGAGAAGTACAGCAGTGAAAGAAAGAAAATATCTGAGAAAATGGTTAACAGGAGTTAGGATTATATTTATTTTACCTGGTGTTCTGCAATGAGTGCTTTCACCTCTTCGATCTCCTGGGGGATGACTTCTTTATCCTTATCAGTAAGTGTAGTTTCAGCCCATTGCAACCAAGCCAGCAAAGCTTCCAACAATTCCTGTTTGGCAAGAAGCCCAGCCAGAGCACTTGCTAATCTCTGCTGATGTTGCTTTGCCCAGGCCAGCACCTGTCAGAGAAACAGAAATTTCTCAGAATTTCCTCCAACTTAGTAAAATAATTGCAGTGATATAAAATAAATAAATTTTAAATGACAATTAGGATCATCCTGGGCTAGACCCATAATGCTTCTGGTCTTTTTAGATTCCATTAGTGGCATCAAGATCTGGCTCGAGGAGGATATGAGAGCCCACGATGACGTTCATTATCTTCAGAATTTAAAGATGCATGTCAATCACTCAGGCTTCCTTTTGCTTTCTAATTTGAGTTCAAATATGCATTCTCTGAAGGATCAGGTGAGCTTACTCCATGTGGCACAGAGTAGAAATGTAAAAAGCTAAGATACTGGTAGGGCGCGGTGGCTGACGCCTGTAATCCCAGCACTTTGGGTGGCCGAGGCGGGCGGATCACGAGGTCAGGAGTTCAAGACCAGTCTGACCAACCTGGTGAAACCCTATCTCTACTAAACGTACAAAAAAATTAGCCAGGCATGGTGGTGCGCATCTGTAATCCCAGCTACTCGGGAGGCTGAGGCAGAGGAATTGCTTGAACCTGGGAGGTGGAGGCTGCAGTGAGCCAATATTGCGCTACTGCACTCCAGCCTGGGCAATAAATCGAGACTCTGTCCAAAAAAAAAAAAAAGGCTAAAATATTAAATACAGAATTAATTCACTTTATGTATACCAATTCACTCCACCAGTATATACTGCTCCGAAACACCATCTAACTGCTGGATTATTCAATAGAAACAATGTGGAAGGAGGCCAAAATGTTATATAGTGTACTAAATATTTGCCTTCAAATTTTCCAGGGATATAGCTGCAAAATTTCTTTGACCTTTTAAAGAAAAGTTAATTTCAGAGATTGTAATGCATACAAGAAGCGTATTTACAAGAACATTTTCTATGTAGAGGTCTCATTTTCCCATGGCCATAAGCGCATCTTAATTCCTAAATTTCCCACACCCCTCAACTCTCTAAGCTATTGCTACTGTGAAGATTATCTGAGACACACTGACCTCCTCAAACCTCGCCCGGATGATTGTTATCCAGTGCTTAATGGTGGTGATGGAGTCGGGGTGGCAGATAGCCAAAACGGTGTCGCCCATAGTGGTGGCTTTATTTAGTTCAGCTCTCTTTTCTTCCAGTTTCTTCATGAATTCCTACAGCAGAAACAAAGACTTCAATTAACTGTTGGCATTGGCTGAAAACAAAACTCTGGTGACATTTGTTTGACTGCCAGAATTAAACAAATAAGCAAAAACTTCAATTGGTTTATTCACAGTGGAAATCATTTACTAATTGGGGAGGAAAAGGGGACAAAATAGAAAAAGTACTTTCTAATATGTACTTTAAAATACAAGTAGAGTCATCCCTTGGTATCCATGGGGAGTTGGTTCCAGGATATTGTGCATAATAAAATCCAAGGATGCTCAAGTCCCTCATATAAAATGATGTAGTATTTGCATATGACCTAAGTACATCCTCCCCATATACTTCATATCATCTCTAGATTACTAATAATACCTAATACAATGTAAATAATTGTAAATAGTTGTTATGGTATTGTTTAGGGAATAATGACAATTATTGAAATTGTCATTTCAATGATTGAAATGATGAAAGAAAAAAGTGTGTATATCTTCAGCACAGATGCAACCATCCATTTTATTTTTGAATATTTTTAACTATTTTATTTTTGAGTATTTGGATACAGAGGGCCAACTTTATAGGATATTTCATGCTTTAAAAATGTATTATACAAAAAATAACTCTTCCAAATTTGGATATAATTATATTATTAATGGAGAATAGCATTGGGAGAGGCAGTATTGCTAGAGATAGAAACAATATTGATTGACCAAAAATAAGTTCTAACAAATAAGATAAGGAGGTTAATATTTAAAATAGCATTAACTATGCCAGGAAATATAGGAGCATGAATTAAAAAGTACTAAGTAGAGAGAAGACTGGGTAAGGAAATATAAATGTTTGGGGGTACAGGAGACAGGGCCCAAAGTGTCCAGGCAGTAAAAAGTGAGGGGGAGGTTGGAGAGAGTGAGCCTGACAGCACGTCAGCCCATGTGAGAACTGTCCCTTTAAAATGCCAGTAAGAGGCACTCTCCTCTGTTCTGGCAGTTCTAGTGGTTCGAGCAAGTCCCTCTGAGCAAGCAGAATGAACAAAGCCTTGACATCCTTGAGGATGATCTTTCAAATAAATGTTTTACAAATGTCTCACATACATAATTGTACTTTCTACCATCAGAACTACATCCATAGATAAACACACCATAGAACTCTGAAAATGTGACTACAAATTGAGAATCTTTGCCCTTAAAAATGCGACATGCTTCCAAAATCTCACATAGAATGTCAGAGATCTGCAGACACCCCAGTCTCTCTGGACCCCTGCACCAAGAGCAATTACTTGATTATACAATGAGTGTCAGAGGCCGCAGATGTCGATGATGCCCGTGCTACTCACACTATGTGAAGAGGGGTGTTCACTTTGAAATATACGTGTTTTACAATAAAAATACTACAAGAAAACCTAGAAAAAACTCTTCTGGACATTGGCCTAGGCAAATAATTTATGACAAGGATCCCAAAAGTGAATGCGACAAAAATGAATACAGACAAATGGGACTTAATTAAATAAAAAAGCTTCTGCACAGTAAAAGGTAGAATCAACAGAGTAAACAGCTAAGCTACAGAATGGGAGAAAATATTTGCAAATCATGCCTCTGAAGAAAGACTAATATCCAGAATCTGCAAGGAACTCAAACAACTCAACAAGAAAACAACAAACAACTTCATCGAAAACTGGGACAAGAACATGAACAGACATTTCTCAAAAGAAGAAATACAAGCATAGAAGCAGCCAACACACACATGAAAAATGCTCAGCATCACTAATTATCAGAGATACGCAAATTAAAGCCACCCTGAGATATCATATTACACAAGTCAGAATAACTATTACTAAAAAGTGAAAAAACAACACATGATGTGGATGCTGAGAAAAGGGAGTGCTTATACACTGTTAGTGGGAATATAAATTAGTTCAATGTCTATGAAAAACAGTATGGATATATTTCAAAAAACTAAAATTAGAACTACCATTTGACCTAGCAATTCCACTACTCGGTATCTAACCAAAGGAACAGAAATTGTTATATCAAAAAGACACCAGCACTCATATGTTAATTCCAGCACTATTCATAAAAACAAAGTCACAGAACCAACCTAAGTGTCCATCAACAGTTGATTGGATAAAAAAAATGTGGTACATATATAGCATGGAATACTATGCAGCCATAAAAAAGAATGAAATCGTGTACTTTGCAGCAACATGCATGGAGCTGGAGGCCATTATCCTAAGTGAAGTAACTCAAACAGAAAATCAAATATCACATATTCTCACGTATAAGTGGGAGCCAAACAATGGGAACACATGGACATAAAGATGGAAATAATAGACACTGAGGACTCCAAAAAGCATGGAGGATAAAAGGGGCCTGAGGGTTGAAAAATTAAAAAAATTACCTACTGTGTACAGTGTTTAATATTTGGATGACTGGTACAAAAGAAGTCCAGTCTCTACTATTACTCAATATACTCAGGTAGCAAACATGTACATGTACTCTCTGAATTTAAATTTATATAATATGTTTATATGTTTTACTCTAATATAAGTGGCCTTTTGTCTTTAATCTCTGTAAAGCAGCTCTGTGACATATCTCCTACTCTGGCATTTTACTATATTAGACTGTTCGGTCCATAAGATTAAAAGACTGTGTTTTATTCATTTTTATGTTCCCAGTAATTCGTTCAAAAGAGTATATGATTTACTGAATAAATGCTTTCTAGACCTTTTATTTACAAGTTTACTATAATGGAGTCAAGGTTCAATTGATGGTACACTCCGATAACATGACCTACTTTTTAAATATCATAACTTAAAAAATTATCACTTTTTCAATACAGATCCTCCTAAATGAAAAAAGTTAAAAACTGCAACATTATAAGGAAGAGGAAAAAATAGGTTAATCTAACATCTGTGTTTCCCCCAGAGAACAGCTGATACAAATAATGTACTCTCAATCACTTGTACACCTATTTGGTGGATGGGACTGTCAACATTCCACTGAATTCTATGCCCTTCCAACCTAGTCTGAACCTTACCTTACGGTTTGTTCTCATGTGGGAAAGCCTGCCGTTTTTAGAAACTGGATTATACTAAGAAGTTTCTAGTCCTAGTGTTAAGAAATTAAATATTCGTTTTTTCTTTGATTGGTGAATGGTGAATGTGCGAAGGGAAACAGAAGAGATGGAAAAGAATGAATAGTGTTACTGCAAAATATTATTAAGAAATGCTTTATAAAATTACTGGTAATTTTATGCTATTTAAAAATAATTTGTTATAAAAACCACTACCCCTGCTCTGGATACTTGCCTCCTGGAGGTTTCCTGGTCCTGTGAGAGTGGTGATACCACAAATAGGCTCCTTTCTGTAGGGTGTTAGATATGCACGACGGGCTTTAAGTGGTGCCCAGCAAATATTTATTGCTACTCTGAGACCCAAACCTAAGAATGTTAATAGAACTCAATGCTGGCTGATGGTAAGCCCACAGTAATATAATATAAACTACATTTTCAAAATGTTGAATGGACTCAAAAATTTATAATAAATTTGATGTAATTGTCTTCTTCTTATATTCTAGCTTCAAATTTAAATGGTGTATATAGCATTTCATTCTTCCAGAAAATGCTATGAAAGCTTGCACCACTTTTTAAATGACGTGGCAATATTTCATTGCTATAGATGCAGCAACCCATTTTTGATAGAGGGTATTAATTAAAATAACAACTCTCTACAGATGATGTAATCCATGCTACACTAAAATTAATGATGTATTTCCAGCCTGATCTCAAAAGACAAAATTATTTACTGGTGTTAAAAAGATCCTTTAAAGTTAATAGGAAATGCTGACATCAACACTACATTGAGTGTTACCATTTCAAATTCCTGACTTTTTGAGTCAAAGGTTAAAAAACATCTGTTAAGAGATATCTGGATCACTCTCTGAAGGGTTTTGGCAAGTTTCATGCATTGCCACAGGAAAAATCTTGATTCGAAAACTCAATAGCCAGATTTAGACTTGGTTAGTTATTCAACAGAATATTGGCTTGTGGAATTCATTTTTAAAATTTTTAATGTATACTATAGGTTACTTCTAAAAAGGATTTAAAGGCTCTTGATTAAGAACAGAAGCAGCGGAGGCTTAAAAATAGATTTAAAGGTGAGTTATTAAATTACCTGTGTGTCTTGTTTACAAAGGGCAAAATTACTAATTTACAATCCTACAGGTATAATTTTATAAATGCCAAACTGCCTATTAAAGAAGTTTTATTTTTGAAACCCACATAATGACTGCAACAATATCGACCAATTTTGGTCAAAAGCCAAAAAGCCTAGATAAATCAATATGCTTCCTTGAGATAGGAAACAGAATAACTACCTTCCCTAAAAAGGAAACATAAAAAGACAGGTACACACACATGTGTGTGGGTGCACGGGGACATACGTATGTAAGCAAGGTGGACAGAAGTACACTCTCAAATGTACCAGGTGTTTAAGTATTTCTCAGGAAGGAAAATATTCATGCAGTTGATATTTGTAATCATGAGTCTATTTTCCTTGCTTTGATTTTCTAATGTAGCTTTACTTAGCATTTATATATTACTCACTTTATGCTGATCAATGAGAGTCCGGAGAGCATCCTCATCATCTGGGAGGACACCATGGAAACGCAGGGTTTGCTCTGCCTCAGCCAGCCACTCCAAGAGGGCATGTACCACCGAGTGGAATTCCTCTGCCTAAGAGTTCACACACATACACACACACACACACCCCAAACAAAATTCCCAAATATACCTGTTAGCACAATTTACAGAACTGTATAGTGGATTCATCCTTTCAATGAAAAAAAACAAAAAGTTTTAAATTTAAATTGCTTCACTACTCCCATTAAGAAGATAAAGATATACATATTTTAAAAATAAGAAAACACCTAAAATATAAAAAAGGCCTATATGAAGAAAAAATTACCACTTTAACAACTTGATTTTAGATGAATGGCAGTCCATCATACTTCCAAGCTGAAACATTACTCAAGCAGCACTTCTATGTGAAGATTAGAATGCCTCCCTCTAGCAGTAATTTAAATTCATGGGGGAGGGTGGGAGAAGGATCAAGGCAATGATGCTATTAGAATTTCCTTCTTCAGACTGTCCTGATTGAGACAGGAGGTTTTTTACTCACAGTTTACTCAGTTTTTTACTAGAATAGTTCTTGTTGAGGTTTCAATACTTTTCCCATTACACCCAGCTCTCATTTACATGGTTTTTACCTGACGCAGGGCTGCTTCTAACCGCGTTTGCTTTGATATGGAAAGTGCACACACGGTCTCCCAGCGTGTGCTTAATTCTTGCATCTGGACTTTGACCCAGGAGGAGTCATCCCGACTGCCTTCTATGAGTTCTCGGGCTGAGCGCTTCAGGGCCTGCACACTGCTGGTCCTCTTCCCCAACTCTTTTTGGAAGGCCTAAGAAGACCATATTTTGAAAAATTATTTTTAATTACAAAACCAAAACAGTAACACATACTGTTTGGGATATATATGTGCATATAACATCATGTACAGATATCTAAGACCTAAAGTTCAATAACCATATTTCTGGCAGCATCTTCAGAAGATAAACGACACACTACTCCTATTTGAGCATCATCAAGAATAGTCTTGTATACATTTATTCAGTCCTGTCACATTCTCGTGAGAAAACGAGATTACCTTATTTTAAAATGACATATTGGATTTAAATAATGGCAGCCAGCCTTCTTTATTTCCATTTCATAAAACAATGCATCAGATTCCTTTTTTTAATGATTCTTTAATATGGTGTCCCAATTCCTCTCAAATAATTAGTGTGAATTCCAAGTGATCCTGGCTTCGGCACTACTCTAAGAGATGTACCTAAGAAGCTAACAGAGGACTAAACAATCCTGATGTGTGTACCATGGAGTTCTTAGAGATAATGGCAGGGAATTCCATAGGAAGTTGGCAGACGGTCCTTGACTCCTACAAAACTCCTTGGTCTTTCATAATAATTTAAATTCATGGGGGAGGGTGGGAGAAGGATCAAGGCAATGATGCTATTAGAATTTCCTTCTTCAGACTGTCCTGATTGAGTCAGAAACTGGATTATACTAAGAAGTTTCTAGTCCTAGTGTTAAGAAATTAAATATTCGTTTTTTCTTTGATTGGTGAATGGTGAATGTGCGAAGGG